ACAAATGCAACAAAAGGAAAATATATATAGCGGCGTTCCTTAACAACGCCGCTAAAAGTCATAATCTTTAGCGGCGTTTATGGCTGAAATGCCGTGAAAACTCATAACCATTAACGACGTTTTCGACTAAAAACACCACTACCTTTTGCGGCGTTGGTTTCAGCGGCGCATTTGGCAATATTTTTCACCACAATTGTTTTTAGAAGCACTAAAAAACAACGCTATATGACTAAAAAAACACCGCTAAAAACCTGTTTTGATGTAGTGTCTGTTACCTAGGACATGCAGGATTCTATAGGCGTTTCATCAAATACTTTTCAAAGATTTCTAAGCCTCTTTGTCTTTTGCTGCACCAAAATCAACCGTTCGTGTTCAATGATGACTACTTCAGCGCATTAAAGGAGCTAAAAGAAAAACTTTTCACGACACTAATCATGGTCGAACTGACAGCCCGTAACCAGATCAGCAAAGCTATATGTGTATGAAAAGGTTTCGTGGTTACTGAATGGTTCGTTGTTTGTGGAGGTTTTGGGGTACAATCGGAGAGCATCAGAGTATGAAAAGGAGAAAAATAACTAGGGAAGTTGATCCATAGAGGGATGTTGCAGAGTGACGGGGAAAAGAGGGAATTAAATTATTTTTATTTTTATTATAAAATTTATTTTTTTAATATTTAAAAAATGTCATGTGGCATTTAACGGTCGAAATTAACGGTCCGTCACGGTCAGACCCAAACAAAGTTACAGAATGAAACGTTAAACACTAAACTGGAACGAAAAAAATTAGATACCAACCTGAAAAAAATAGGTTAGAACCTTTATGACATTTAAGGCTAAAAAAACTCAATTACTGATGAGAGTTATAAAAAATATTCAAATTTAGCATTCTAATACCATTACTTTGTTTCCTCCCTGAAATCAAGCGAATAAAGAATTGTTCAATCAAATCACGTGTTTCATAGCAATCTTGGAGATAGATCCAAATTCTTATGTTGAAGAAGTAAATGCCGGATTAAGTTTGATTAATTTATATAATAAATGTTTCTTTTAGTAAATTTGAACTGTACATAAAATTCATTGAATTTTAATAATTAGAGGTTGGTGAAGATCCAAAACGCAAAGGGGGCCACTGTGCTAAAATCGAGGTAAAAGCCACTTTTAGGTTGGTTGAGGTAGAGAACGTATCATTAAATGCCTATTAATTTTTTTTATAGGAATGAAGATTTATTAAAATCAAGAGACGAAGAACAACTTATGAGCCTCGTTAAAAACCTCCCTAATCTACTTGGAGGAAAAGAGTGCTACACAAGAATACAAAACAAACAAAAAATACCAATAGCGTAAGCCAGACATACAGAGACTACAAAATCGAACAAAGACAATTCCAACCGACCAAAACAAAGCAAAAAACTACAGCCAACTAAAACATCATAACAATTCCAACCGAAAAGGTTTCGTCAACTACATCAGCGCATGCAGAGACAGCAAAAGCGAAATAGAGACAAACAAAATCGATTCCAAAGGCTCCAGAGCGGACAATCATATAACAATCTCGGAGAAGAAACCGCTACTGAACTAAAAATTGGATGCAACCATCCCTAAGCTCTATTCAAAGCCACCAACCATAAAGAAAATAACAGTTCACCAAACCAACAATTACCAACCAAACGACCAATTCACCATACGCCTCCACAGGACAGACCAAAATTGAGAATAAGCATCCTCCAAATAAGAAAGACATATCAAAAACTTAACGCTACCATGAGCAACCCTAATACGTTCTTATCTAAGCAAGCACCGAAAACACAGCTCTGAGAGAAACGAAAAGATCAAGACCCCCATAGGTAATCCAAATTGATCAAGCATATCCTCCACAGATTCACCTACAATTAAAAGATTCTCTCACAGTACAACCTTTCAGTCTTTAAAAACCATTTTTTACAACAAGACTAGGACATCCTCACACCACCTTCCTCAAGAACAAAGTACCTAGGAACAACACATTAAGCCTAGAAAAGCAGAATCAACCAAAAACACCTGTGAAGCCAAGAAATCGAACTCAAAGACAAACAAAAAAAAACACTCCCAACTGCCTCCCTAACACAGAAGCCAAGCTAGAAACATAAACTCACTCCAACACAAACTTAAAATAAATCAAAAACAACTTCACACTATAGAAACCTAAGAACTCCCAAAACCTATAACCTCTCTACACGTCAAAATAGATTCACAAGAACCCTTAAAATCCAACACCATGACCACCATAAAAGTCACGACAAGGTCCTCAAAGTACAAAATACAAAAACCTAGTGCATGCCCTACACCTCACTCACTACCGTCAACACAACTCTAGCGACACTAACTCCTCGAGAACCTTCCTTTCAGGATCAGTAAACTTAATACCAAGCATCTTAGCTACTGACAGAGTCTCCTCCGCTTCAACATACGCAACAGGCCACTTTTTCTTTAAATCCGAATCTGAAATAGATCTACCTGATAATTCATTGGAGTTTAGGTCAACCTTCTTCAACTTGGATCTCTTCAACGCTCGATCTCTTCAACTCCTCTCAGCTTTCGATAGGACTGAGTCCTGGATATCCAACATAGAGCCAAATTTTTACATCTTCTTTTTATTCCTAATGGACATGTATGACACGCACGACACATCTTCTAAGACTCCCCCAAAACTCTCTTTTTCAGATTTCTTCATTATACTTGCATTGCCTAATTCCAAAGAGTTAACAGGATCCAAAACAAAACCGTCACACCTCCCCCCTGAATCCACCAAAATATCTCTATGAGAATCCAATAAAACTTCATCCTTTAAGCCCATCAGTAAATGAAGCCCAATCTCTGGAGAAACTACAACAGAAACACCAACCAAAGCTCTATCCTCCAACTTTGAAACCCCTTCTATAATAGGACTGACCACATTTAACTCTACAACCATATTCTCGACCCCATCAATATTCAATCCTTGCAACCCCACGTGATTGAAGTGATCTGAAATTTGAAAGCCAGCACTTTGTCCACCATCTTTGACAACACACTCGACCTCGATCGACTTCCCAATACTTACCTTTTTACGGCAACCAACGCTCTCCCCAGAGCACGCGACATCAAAAGGACTGCTACCAGAAGGTGACCCTTTCTTGCCATCTGAACTTCCCGACTCAGAAGCCACTGACAGATCATCAGACGATTTTACTGGTGAAACACCTGTATTATTATCCCCAACCTCAACCCCATCCTTCTCAACCTCAATCTCTATTTTCTTTAGAATTTCAGGTTTAGACAAATTACCTAACGAATGGTCCACTATCCTTACTTCAAGAACACGAACATCAAACTTTTTATTCTCCAGCACTACATCTACAACTTCATCAATCCGAGCTTCCGATGAAGTAGAAATCAACATATTAACTTTCTCACAATCTAAATGATGGTTAACATTTTCTCCAAACGCCTCAAATCTACCCCACAACCCAACTAATCTTTTCAAAGTGTCACCATTCCAGCAATGCAACGGTAATCCCTCTATCTCTAACCAAATAACTCTCTCCTTCTGGCAGAAAGACTTTGTCCAAAGCATAACATCCACGAAAATCTCCTTCAAGTAAGACCACCCGAGGTCTTCAAGCATGATAAATAAATCTTCATCCTCGATGGTGAGCAGAAAAGAGTTCCCACGTAGTCTCTGAACTTTAATTTCCCCTAAGCCCCAGTTATGTAATCTATCAACAATACTTCCAACACTACAAACACCAGCCATAACACCCACCAAACATCTCTTTAACTTTCTTACTTCATCCTCATCCACATGCCCCATAACTTCCTTTCTGGAAGCACACGCTTGGCTAGCCTCCTCTTCCTATGAGAAATACCAGTTGCGATTGGGCTTGTAATTTTACCTTTCCATGACAACTTACACTGCGCACATTTATCTTTCGGAGCCTTCAAAGAATACTTAGCAAAACTCACAAAGATGCGTCTACCATACACCATAAGACCATGCAACCGTTCCTTAACTCTATCGGCTTCTACCATATTGCCAACTTTTACGAAACCAAACCTAGAGCCTACTCGGCTCCTCTTCGACGGAAGATTCACACTCAGAACCTCACCATAACGACCCACAATCTGCCATAAACCTTTCCAGTGGATAGAGTTTAAGTTATCCACAAACAAAGAAACACAATCCAACAGAAAACCTGAACCACCCTCCATATCCCAATCCAACAAATTTATTAATTTTCTAGAAAGGTTATTTTGAAAGTTTCTGATATAAGTTTATGTTCAAATTCAAATTATTAGTTACAACAATATGTTTAAATGCCTATTAATTCATTTCTTTGTATTGAAAAATATAAATGCATACATTACTACTAAACTAATTAAATTTATGTATAATAAATCATTGGAGAATCTAAAAATATGAATCTGATTTCAAATTTATTATTAAATAAGCATTCAAAAAAATCTATGAAATTCAAAAATAATAAGTCATTTGTTGTGTTATCACTTAATCTACATTATTTTTAAAACTAAATCTAAATTCTAAAATGTTATTTTAAAAAACAATGCTTTAGCAGGCAAAAATAATGAACTTTCCCAAAATATATAATAAATATCTTTAACCAAACAAATGTACTATTTGTTGCCAAATGTGGTATATTGGTAGTTGACAGACTACTGCTAGGTAGTATAGATTCTTAGGCTCACAGATAAGCAGGAAAAATATGGTATATATAACAGAATGCTTCCGGTCATGAGTGCTTGATAACCGAGATTAAGCTACAAAATTAATGTCTATTTTTTGTTGAGTTGTTGTGGGTAGTATTGGGTTATTATCAATTTTGACTCTTGCATTATAGTAAAATTTTAGTTTTAATTCTTGTATTATTTTTTAGATTATTTTAACCCCTACATATTCATAAGAGTGAAATGTTATGATATAAAATATACCAAAGTCAAGGGAGCAAACACTTGAACACAGTTGAGTAATATGACATCCTCCCAATGTTTGTAACCCCTTTACCTCTCCACAAGTAGCTGATTCCATTAAACTAAAAGATCACAGGTATTACATTTCAAGTACTTACATTAACCGCTCAAAAGTTTTCAAACTTTTCTCAGTATATACACTTAAACATGTACTGCTGCTGCCCCCTCAAACGCTCAAACTATAAGATAACATCTCTGGCAGCGCAAGCCGCTTTACACATTGAGACGGCAATGAAGTTCCAGAACGCAACACGGCACCTTGTAACATGAGAATCACAGGCACATATTCTGAACCTGATAAGCTGGTACCATTACGTCAACGGAGTCTCCATCCTCAATTAATCATCACAAGCACAACATTATAAGACGGGTGTTTCTTATTCAAAGACCCTAGAATCTGATTTCTACCAAACGAACAGAAACAAAAAATGCAATACTAATACAATCTCATACGCCATGACTGCAGTTTTAAGTAAAACAAAGACTTAGATATATATAGTCCTGCTGCGGCATGCGGCAGGTAGTTTATAATGGTGCATTGCATATTTATCATGGCCCCAAACGGTATGGACCCTCACCCATAAAGTGACCATCCATGTATAAAGCTGCTGCATTTTGTGGATGCAGACCATCCATCACCATAAATTGCATGTCTTCGGAAGGTTTCCAGTGACGCTTCCTTTGATTTATGAACCAATTATTAATTTGTTTCTGGTCCAAACCAGTTGATTCAGCCAATGCCACCTTCTCTGATTCCTATGGTGTTAGCAGTCCGAGATGTGAACAAAATAATCAAACAGAAATTCCAATAGCTTGCCAATCCATAACAGGCGCTAAAGAAAATAACTTGGCTTAAAAAGGGAAACAAGGATGCATACCGAGGGGTATGGCCATTTGTAGTGTAACTCCCACCAACTAAGCAATTTCTGTCTAGCTTCTTTTGGCAGTTTCCCTTTCTTCTTTTTCTTGGAGAGTTCTTGCTTGAGACTACTTAAATAACCACTATACTTCCTCAATAAGTGGTTCTTCAATTCACGATCTTCAACCCGCGGATTGAATTCAGATAGTTCGGTTTCTCCACCACTATTGTCCTGATCCTCTTCAGATGAACCAACACCCTCACGCTTCTCATCTGTTCCATTTTTAATAGAAAAGGTACAACTTGAAAATAAGCACTTGATCGGATAACCAAAATAAAGCAGGAAATTTTCACAGCATTGTTCTCGGTGGTCCAATGATAACCAACATCACAAACATTATTATCAAATTGACAGCATTAGTGCAATATATACATGGTATACCAGTATTTGATGAAAGCAAACATGAGAATTCAAATCAAGAGCACACTATCCCAAAATAAATAAAGGTATTTGGGCAGTCTAATTTTTTTGTCAAAAGTAAATTCAATCAGTTAACAGTTGGTGAGATTCTTTTACTACATTTCCCAATATCTTTTGAATAAGAAGGCAGAAACAAAAGAGAAGAGCTTGTAATAAAGGCACAAAAGAGAAGAGCTTGTAATAAAGGCCAGGTGCCACAAGTAGGCAAGTCGGAGACTCCAGGAAACCGGAACCAAAGTAAAAGAAAATGAATCATAGCCTACAATGTAGTGCAAGCTGAGAAATTGAGACTGTAGCTTACTAGATGGGTTTGCAGTGAAGTGAATCAATGTCCAACGTAGCTATAACAGTAAAAATAAAGGGGAGAAATCCGATATCAACTATGAGAACAAAGACAGGAAGCAGGGAGCGCCGACTGAGCGGTGTTAGAGAAAGCATGCATAGAAGCTCTTAGCAGCAAGGCAAGATTTTATTTGAGGAATGAATCATAAAATTTTAAGAGTGAAATTAGATCATCAAAATATATATAAAAAATAACTAAATTATGTGAAAATTTAAAAATTCCAGGGTAGGTCTCCTTCAGAATTCAGATCTTCAGTGGTTTCAGACGGCTTAAAAAAATCAGAAAAACAAGACGAAACTGTTAAGGATTAAAACCCAAAAGAACTAAAGACACCAGCAACTATATATATATATATATATTTTTAAAGCCATACAGAATGGGCTAGCACTGATTTGAACAGCATCCTATGTACTCCAATTTCCCTAGCCTCTATACCTTTTTCTTCTGGGGAAAAAATACAAACTAATTGTTTTAAACGAAAAAAAAAACCGGGTAGAAGAAGACATTAACGATATTTATGTTCAAAAGCCCACATGAAACAGAATCAGATTTAGCAGAACTAAATAGAATACACCAACCAGATTTTGCGAATAAAATATAATACAACCCTAAAATAAGAATGGTTGTCAGAGATCATTGAAAAGGTCACCCCATTAGAGAGAAGCCAACGTGTAGATTTTAATGTATACACCCAGAAATAGCATAAAACCAACTGCGTTTTGTCTTCTTTTCGAACATAGGTAAATTTGTTACTATATTGATTCTTCATTAGCTAGGGCTCCGCCCATTAGCTGAATAAATACGTTGTGTTAGTCGGTTTTCACCCCACTTTTGGATCTTCTTCGTTTTTATGGATCTAGTTTTTTGTGCCTTTTTTCCCTCCCCTTTTTGTTGCTGCTTCGTTATTGGAAGGCATGATTTGGAACAAACCTATCAATGGCGATTTAATGAATACGAGAGAAATAGAATCAGGTCTACAATTTCCAAAGAGGGGCCAGCAAATTAGACTATTTTACAAACCCAAGTGACGAACAGCTAATAGTTAATACCGTCTCTGCATCTAACGTCAACAAAACTCATGTTCCATTCTTCCGTTTCTTTTCCATGCCTACTCTTTAGGCAGAACGTAAGCAAAGCGCTAAATCATCATCGTCTCCATGAACGCGTGCGGGAAACGTAAAAGAAAGAGAAGAGAAGAAAATACCAGAGTTGAAGATCCGCGCGGGAGTGTTGCTGACAATGTTGAGCTGAGCTTCGATCCTTCGCATGAAATCCAAAGCTTCTTGCATGGGCCTGGTTAGTTCCTCTCGATACTTCACCAACATGTCACAGTAAGCTTCCTGGGTTTATGGATCCACGATTTTTGAGTCAGAACAAAATGGAAAAAAAAAGTAGTGAAACGAAACAATTTGCTGTCGCTAAACCCAAAAGTGATCACCATAAACTGATCCAACTCGGGGTCTTTGGAGGTCTCTCTTGATGTCACTGAAGGTAGCTGCCTCGCTTCAAACTCCTGTCGAGCAGCAGTTAGTCGGGCCACTACTTCAGGTGGAGCTCCCACCTGTATCAAAATAGAATAAAAAAATATTAGTTGTGATAAAAGGGTCATCGAGTTAATCGATTGAATTCTTTTTGTGGGACACTTACCTTTTGGCAATTAATGTAAGCCTCCAAGAGGTTAGAATACTGAGGATGAGCTATGATCTTGGCTTTTATAGCTTCCATTTCATTGAAGGTATCGCTCCCCTCTTGTTGTTGATGAACTGCTTGGTGCCCACTCAGCAAAGGGTAGTGAAATTTTTTACCATGTTGAGAGTTCGTAGCCTCAGTTTTCACAATTGGATGTCCCTCAGATTGATAACATTCGCTCGATTGAAGCTGAAATGAAATTAATGGCATCTCGGTCTGTTGATTACTCACGTTAGAGCCGCTACCCGCTCTCCCATATGGAGAAGAATTCGGAGCAAGAATTGGAGTTGCGTACAAGAAACTTCCCCTAGGAATGTTATTCTCGTTCAGCTGAGTATATTCTTCCATTGTTTTCTTTTTCTTTGGTCAACAAATTCAGCTGTGAGGCAAACAAGCAAGAAATAAAAATCTCAAAGCTGGAAAGCAATAGACAAAGAAAAACCCTAAAGAAAGCAGACTAAAGGAATAGAAACCCTAAAACAAGATGTGTAGACACCTACTGAACATTATTTACTTGAAAAAGGTTTTCCATTTCCATGTCAAATCGAGTAGACATGAAACTTCCGATCAATGGAGAAAAATATTGAAATCTTCAGCAGTTTTATGCTTGAAATGAAATTGCACCAACATTTGCAGGTATCAAGAGAAGATCAGAAAAAGGGTAACCCCAAAACCCAACAAGAAAAAGGAAAGATGGAATAAAGAGTTGAGTTGATCGAAAGAGAGAAAGTAATTAAGCTTAAGCCGGAACCGGCAAGCGACTGCGTGGTATTGGGTGGTTGACAAGACGTTCTGTGTTGAAAGAAAAAGAAATATTTGAAAATCAGTAAAGGCAAACAAAGCCTCAACCACGAGATAAGGCCATTGGATTTCTAGATTTTTTTTCCACTTTCTTTTCCTTTAGATTATTATTATTATTGCACTTCCTTCTCCAGGACGTACCAATTTTTTCACTATATTTTAGTAGTTTTGCTCTCTCTTTTACCCCTTTGGCAATCCTTTTAGGATTGAGGGCAAATCTGCTCACTCAATTAATTGTTCATCAATATCTAAAAAGCAACGGATATTTAATCAAAATAAAAAGTTACATCATCATTTTTACAGGGGTTTTCGTTTTTATAATCGAATGGTTTATGTATTTTGTTGGTCAAAATTCAAAATTAGCCTGTAGAAATTATTTGCATGCGCGTCACAATATATATTACTATCACCCCAAAAACATACCCTTTAACAACTTTCCCTATAACCGGAAATTACTGATTATTTATATTTATACCAACAACTATAAGTAGTATTTCCTTTGTAATAGATTTGAAAAATTCACGTCAACAAAAATTAACGAAATCGTTGGTTAATGATAGAAAAAAGTTGATAAAAAGACTACATTAGATTTTATTTTGAGATGGAATGTCACATAGAGGAAAATAATAGTACAAATGTCATTTTTTTTAAATATATGGACTTTGCGTACGTTTTTACCATTATCTATTTATGTTAAAATACAAATGAATCGTTAAATATAATAGTAAAATATACTATAACATTTTTTTTTTGAGATAATATAGAAGTTACCTGTAAATTTCAAAGTAAATTTTCAATCAATTGTGTGAATAAATACGGTGAATATTTATAGGCTAATACCTTGAAATGACATTGAAAATGGCATAAAAAACGACGGTTACTTAAAAAGGCTTGTGAGACTCCTATATACGAAGAGAAGAATTTAAGACGGTGGAATGAAATAAATATCAGTTTAACAGCCTAAGCCTTACCTTCAATGGAATTGCGTTTATTTACTATATATATATATATATATAAAGAGTTGGAGAGGAAATTTAATGTCATGATCATCAAGTCTTATTTCATTTCCATTTTTATGCAGTACAAGAGATGACCATTATAATTATAAAAACAAAACTCATTTAAGGGTTGATTGATATGTGTAGGGCGCCTGATGTTTCACTCATTTCCCCCTTTTGGAATTTTTTTTAGACTAATAAGACAAAGCACCAAGTATGATGATATATAACACAAAATTAAAACCTAAAATCCTACAGAAGAACGTCAAACGTTTCCACGACTTCAAAAGGAAGATAAAATTAAAATTAGAAGTAAATTTACATATCAAAGGGAACCTGGTAACTTGGGAATTGGAGGAGGAGGAGGAGATTAGAGGGTAGAAGATCCGTATAAAATAGTATCTTTCAACGGTTAACAGTGAAAAGGGCCCCCAGCTTCAGTCTGATTGGACTGTTTTTCATCACCATTTGACAGTAAAGCACGTGTGAGCGAAAAAAGCAGCAGCAGGAACCCTCAACTGAAACTGGAAGAGCTTTTTGTTCGGCTATCCTCGAATCATTTTAACGAATAATATGTGAGTATTACGAAGTTTAAACTCCGTGTTTATCATCCAATGTCTGACACAAAAACGATTTCAGGTTTGTGTCTAATCTACAAAATAACAAAATATAAAAGAGAGAGACCCACAGACCATAAAACAGCCAGCCTCTCATCCCCCCCGATAGTCGCGCGCTATAAAGAAAAAGGGAGGGGCCAGAATGATGAAGAGAGAAGCTGTCAATTTGGTTTATAGTGTTATTATATTTAAAAGTTTTCTGATGAGGGTTGGACATGTCTGAACTCCAACAGAAACCTTGCAGTGGTAAATAGTAGGGTTCATCTCCATATTCATTTGTCGTTCACTAATTTCAGTCACCGTCATGTTCCCTTCTTCCCTAGGCACTCTCACTTGCCCTGCAAATCTGCTTCAATGTAAGTCCATTGCCATGATTTCTTGGCATCAACTGTTTCAACACGGGACAAACAGAAGATGCATGTGAAATATGAATTACTAAAATTAAATATTGTTTTTAACTATATTTACAGAGTTTTGAAAACTATATCGCTAATATATTAGGTATTGCTCGTTGAATTGAATCTCCATTAACAGTTTCCGTGGTAAATTAAACTCGAAAAGGTGGCTAATAGGCCGAACAACCGATCAACATTATTGAATACTTGCATCAAACAGACAAATAAAAAGGGTTTTGAGAGATGATGTAAAGTTGAGTTGTCTATATTATTGGTGCTTGCCTTCTCCCAGTCAAATCATCGTCTTCAATCATCCTTTAAATGAGTTGTTCCTGTCATGTCATCCTGAAGAAAGTTAGTGACTTGGTGCAAAGGAAAGTAAGGGGAGGTTTAATTCATTCACAAGTTCTTAATTTATATTGTTTTTAAATTAGATATCTATTTTTTTTTGTTGAACTCAATATTTAAATTATAATTTTATAATCATTTTAGATTTGATGGTTAACTCAAATTAAAAAAATATTTAAATCAATCAGGCGTTCACAGATAACATCCTATTAAAAAATTATCACTTCACTTAAAATTCAAGCTACACTATCGTTCAGTCATTGTTCGATAAATCAATTTTTTATTCTTAAGTAGGATATTTTATTCGATAATCTGAACAATCAAATGTGAAAACCATAGAGAAGTAGATAATTCGATTTCACGACCATGGAGACTTTAAATTTACATATGGGAACATAGGAAATCGAGTGGTTATGGGAGATTTCACAAGTTTATGAAATACTATATATTTTTTTTGGAGAAAACAGGTAGAGAAATAAAAAAAATGATAAGAGCTTTATCTAGAGATAAAAATCTTGGTCGATAATTGCCGTGAGAAGTGGAGAGAATCAGGAATGTACATGTGTTATTCGTGCAATTATTTTAATCGGCTATTTTTATTTAAAAAACTGTTAAAGCAATTATTTATTATAGGTCATTTGATTGTAAACGGACAAAAATGTTTAGATAATATTGTGATCTTTTTTTTCTTCTGAATAACGTTCTGTGAGTTATTTGTTGAAGTAGAATAATTATTATAGTGTCATTTGAAAAACGTGGTGAACGTACTGATAGAGTATAGTTTATGTAAATGACGGATCTAGAAATTTAAGAATGAAATTCAAAATTTTAATTTTGTTTTCATACAAATAATGGGTATGCAAAATTTTTATATTTTTTTATATTTTTTCCTAAACACATTAAATTAAATTTAATCATTTTCCCAAAATAATGGGATCGTATCGGAACTTATTGCATCCGCCCCTGTTTTATGTAACAAAATGTTGTTATTTCTGTTGTCACGGATTTAGGCTTGACTTATTAGTTGGGTTATAAATTGTTGGCTTGGTATTCTGGGCTGGTATTTTTCCATAAATGTGTAATGATGTTTTGTCTAAGTTCTAAAATATAAGTCTTCTTATTGCTCTTTCATACTCTTTTCATGGTTGTGTTAATCTTTTTGTGATTGCATGAGTTTCCATCATGTTATTAGAGTCGTCTTTGGTGTGTTTATGATCATCATGAACCTGACTAGTAACTGCTTTACTGGTCAGTACTGATCTTCGCCTAGTTCAGTCACTCATGATCGTAATCTAATCTATTTAACCTGTTTCTAATATATGATGTGATGAAGATTTCTGTTGTCAAAAATTAAAATTTGTAAGATTAAACCATTTGATATAATTAGAATATTATATAAAGTACGTCGTCTTTAAATATGAAGAATTTAATTTAAAATACTTGATATAATTAGAATTATATATAACTACTATATATTTTAGGCATATTATATACTGATAAACTAAATTAGTCAAATTAAACGGTTCAAAAAAATGAGACCCTAAGCAATTGCTCAGGCTTTCTTCCTATTAATCGACTTTGCTTAAGAGAATATAAAAGAAGAAAGATAAATTCATTGACTAATCGAATAGTGTTACTCTTTAGGTTCACGTATAATTATAATTTATAAGCTTAGCCTAATCGAATCTTACAAAAATATAAAGAAGGAAACATGTTGGTGTGTGTCAGTACAGCATGTCTTGAGCTTAATTAATGTTTAATATTTTGTTGAGTGACAGTGGTTCGAGTTTTAATGAGTTTATATATAAAGTCATCCATGACGAAATTAAAATCGGATCTAAATTCATTTTCATACGAGTAACTAAGATGTACATGTTTCAACTACATCAATTTATGTTTCACCAACATTTTTGAAATGCGTAAAAAGTTGGTCCATAAAGGCGAATGAGTACAGTTAATCAAAACTTAACCAAGAAAAAAAACACATTAATTAAACTCCACCATCCGACATCCTAATAATTATGTTATTTTAACAAAACTTTACCATAATTAGCCATTAATTTATTCTTAATTGTGATTCCCGTTCCCAACCACCAAGTCTAAGCTATCGTGCGTGGAATCATCAATTTTTGTGGCATCAAATTAATAAAAAAGTAAATTCAACATATCTTACAAAACTAAAAATGTATAACTTACTAATTATTTTTATATTTTAAATAATTTAATTCAATCTTGTTATAATATCTTTGAAATAGTAAATTTAACATATCTTACAATACTAGAGATTTTTTGAAAGTCTAAATAATTAAAATGTAATATCTATTTAATTTTTTTAAAATATTTACAACGAAAACACTTTACAGCTGTAACTGCTCAACTTTATATGGATTTTGAACCAGAAAATTGTAGCTTCTATATTTGGGGGGGGGGATTATATCTTCCATGCATAAAACAAGATAGAGATTATATATATTAGTAAACATGAGACTTACCAATTAGACAGAATAAGATCAATATAAAAATGAAAGTGTTGGGGGGAATCTTTCTCTGTTTTTTTTTTCTCTTTCTAATTTCACTTTGAAAAAGATATTTGAATGATTTGCTTATATATTTTAATAAACAATTGTGATGTCAATAGTCATTAGTCACATCAAATATATATTATATATGAATGGACAAAATTCATCTCAAATAAAAA